CGAAAACTCCATCTCAAAGCACGTATGGGCAATTTCCATAGTGTTCACAAGAAAATTTGCACTCGAATGATATCTAGCAATTTCAATCACATTTGGTAAATAAATCTGCAAATTAAGATTATGCAGATGACGTTTCTTGGGTACAAAAGTAGTCACCTTCAAAGCGCTATAAAATCCATTATGTATCATGTTTATATGTAAAACCATAAATAACTAGCATTCTGACCAACTTTCAAATCCTAGGAGAAGATTTGCATATCTTTAGTTTCCATAAACCTAAGAGAATTGAGTTGTGAGCGAAAATTCCACCTCAGGAGGGAGTTGAAGCGGCGTTTCACACACACCGAGAGCGCGTGCTACCACTAAATCACCAGGAAGCGTTTCACCACTACTCATCTTCATTCTCTCATATAAAGCATATAAGAGAGGAGATTGGTCCCTCTCGCACCGCGACGAGCATGACAACCACTCGGCTGCGGCGCTCCTTTCAGAAAGTGTATGGGAGCGAAACTGATGCGGTAACAATGTATCATTTTCGAAGCATTGGAGCGATTTATTCAATGCGCATGCAATTATGCACAAACTATAGCGTATAAAACGGGAATCTGTCAATCGAGAGTGCAAAGAGCGCTCAACCTGCATTTTATGACGTTGGAGAAGAAGACGAATAAATAATTAATGATAGATATGGTCGAATCCGCCAAGTGAGAAAAAAGAACAAAAAAGAACAGAAAACCACACAAGAATGTTTTCAACTCCAGAGTGAAATCTGTACGATTCAATCTATGTTTGGTAGTTTTCTGTGACGCATCTATGGCATCATGAATTATATAGTTTAATAAATTGAAAAGGAGGCTCCGTGGCCGAGTGGTCGTGACGTTGGATGTGGTGCGCGTGGAGCCGAGCTCCACCCTCAACTCTCTCCGGCAGTCACTAACAGCTCCCTATGAAACTTCACACCAAGACTATCCTCGAAATTACAAGGGACTTACTCAACGAGTGTTTTACACCGTTTAAGAAGAAAACGAGAAACCAGTTGAAAGTTAGAAGTGCGGGGATCCGCACACTGGAAAAAACGCTGCGATAACGGATTGAATATCAATAATCAAAAATAAAATAACAATAAATAAATTGTTATCAAGCTTCAGACAGATATGTAGGTAATCACAGAGAATTCATTAGCGTAATGGGAATACACTAGAACCTTTTTATCTCAACTATATTTTTACAAAATCCACGATTATTCTACTTTTCCTTCTTGAGGACATTTAACACCAGAAGTAAATGAGCGGAAGAAGAATTTAATGTTAAAAAACTTTTGAAAATGATGCAATATAATCTTAGAAAATAGGGCAACTTTCTGCGATTGGTTGGCTGCGGTCTAAAAGTTACCACCAGTCATCAATAATCAAGATGATCTCACTTATTCTTAGCTCACTGTTGGATGATTTTCAGCGCAGGAAGTTACTGAACTCTGGTGGGTGAAGTGAAGTAACCGCAGTTGATTTTTGGAGATGTTGCATAATATTCGCCCTTTCAGCATGATGTTTATTGACTTAATTTTATTGACACTAGGGAGAAATTGGGCTCACTCTCATACACAAGAGAATATTTGAATGCATACGAGCTTTAATTGCTAGCTCCAACGAAGATGCTGTTTCCTGTTGAAACGGTTAAGGTAACAAGGGGACAACTCACCAATGTCTTTATGAGAATTATAAAACGACCCTAACACTCTCCCTTGATCTTCGAGAGTGATGAATTGTGGTGATTTGGTTTTACTCAAACTTTGAAACACTTTTTTCTTTATGTTTTGAGATCTGAAGAAACGCTTTGAAATAATTAGCAATAAATGATCTACGTTTAGAAATGTCTAGTTGCATTATATTAGGTCATTACACAAGTTTTGGCACTATAGCAATAAATCCCATATTTTTAACCAAAGATATCTAAAATTACATAATTTTGGCACTTTAAATTGCGTAATTTCTTGCGAACCTTTTCATGTACAACGCCTACATGTGCTTCAAGATGGAGTTATCATGAAAACAAATCTGTGTGCCACTCAGGCGCAAAAGACGCATAGGGGAAACTGCTAGTAAAGCCCCTCGCAATATTAATGAAGCTTGAGCTGACGATACGGTCGCAGAAAGGACGTTTGAAAGCTGCTTCGGCTGCTGCAGAGAGCAGTCTGGAGGACCAGTCGTGCTCGGTTGTCCATAGAAAACTCATTAATTTTGTGCGTCGTTTTATTAGCACTTTTCCATAAACGCCATCGTGCATATATAGCCAAAGAATTTGTTCCCAAGATAGCTCCATCTTGAGGTAAGTTTCGGTAGGTTGCGTAGAAAATGTTCACAAGAAAATGCTCAACTGTACAAACCAAATCATGTGATCTTAATAACTTCTGTCTTATAAATGTGGTGTCTACTAATGAAGTTTCAATGCTTATGAAAGATCTATTAGTAACCGCAATGTATAGAGGTGTGGAAAGTAAATACGTGGTCACTGGCCTCGTTCTTTGGTCCGGATGAGCAGAGCCCCGTGTCTCCAGGATCGGCGAATCGGCATCATTTTGCTCGTGATAGATCACTGATTAGAGACGTCTTTAGATCTTGGAAAGTTATGGTTTGGATAAAATATACTTTCAGTCGTCCATGATGCTTGAAGAAGTTGATCGGGTAAGTCACTGATTGAGGCCGATGGCTTTGATTCGTAGAGTTCAAATGGTTTTGTGGTAAAAATTGATAAATACTGTTGGCCTGGTTATCTAACCTGCTTTTTGTCTTGCATGATTATCATTTCATCCCTCGTTCTTTATTGCTTTCAGGACAGTTCACACGAACGGCGGCACCGAACGATCTCTTTACGAGGAATTCAAAAATTTGAGTTAATCATGCGAAAGCTGTTTTTGATTTACAAACTTTTCCGTTCATTCATTGTTTACTAGCAGAACGTAAACCTAACGTCGAACTGAAGGACCTGTGTGATAGCTCCGTCTTGCAAGAGAGAGTAATGATTACAGGGAAGAAGAGGGCTGCACTGTAGACAACATTGAATATCATCAAGTCGAATCCCATGACACCGGCTCACCTGGCTTTTTGAAAAAAGTTCCCAGAAGCTTTGACGTTTCATATGTCTTAAGATAATAGTTTCAAACTTCTAGCAAACATGACTCAAGCAGTGTATTCGGCTTTTTCAAAAAATAAAGCGAAATCTCACTTCATCACTAGACAATGTTATTTCGCTACCTCGCAAATGTTGTTTTTGCTTTGAATCCGTCTTCATTGTTTACCGGCATGTCCTGTATCGTTTTCTTTGATGTCTATGTGTTAGCACCGTTTCTCGTTGAATGCGACCTACAGATGGAATGAGGCTTGTGCAATTCGATTAAGTAGCAGCGATTTATTTCATGACACTGTTGCACCTTCATTCTGAAAATGAGCATGACCACTTTACTATCTTTTATGCATTAGGTCATCAAGAACTATTGCTCTGAAAGAATCTTGTTAAGACGCTGTCTAGCTGTTTTACGGAATGCATAGTGGGCCTAGTCTACAACTTACTGAGGTCTGCCGACGTACTAAATCGTTGTTTCATTCGTCCTAATAACTCTGATATCATCTGTAAGATTGCTTTATATTAATATTGCTTTTATGACAATTGCATAATGTTACAATCAAACGTCCAAGCATGCTGAGTGATGTGAAAAGTCCTGAAGCTCAGGTATAAGATGAACCACCATTTCACCGACGACGTAGGCGCGTGTGGCCACTCCATCGACAAGGCATTGCTCTGCCACAATTTTCCTTCAAGATAAGGCATCGCAGCTGTCAATAATCAAGGTTCGATAAGTTTAGTCTTTACTCACATATTGGAATTGACCCGGCTCAGCTGACAGTCACCGAATATATATATATATATATATATATATATATATATATAAGGATATTATATGTTTTGAGCCGATAGGTCTAGTGCTATATAGGCGCCTATTTCGTCCTATTAGGACTCATCAGTAGCACCCTCCCTCTGTTCCGTCAATCCCTTGTGGTGAAATAATCCTCTAAAGGAATCGGCGCCGCGTCAAAACTGAGCACCCAAAGTAGGATGATGGTATTACCTGACTTTGTAGTGACCGGCAGTTGAGCTTGCGGCTTTTAGAATAAACCACACCTCTGCTATCGACCGCTCCCTTATATATATATATATATATATATATATATATATATATATATTATATAGTTTTCTATATATATTGATGATCATTGCGTGGAAAAATGTCGAAATTGAGTGGAAATCACATAATGCAGTTTGCGCACATCCGATCAGTAAAGAAAATGCACTCATCGGAAATGTGAAAGTAGCTGTCGGCAATCAAGGTTCGATGAGTTTAGTCTGTATACGCATATTGGAATTGACCCGGCTCAGCAGACAGTCAACGAATATATATGTATATACATATATATATATATATATATATATATATATATATATGCACACCCCTATATATGTATTACGGTGACAACCGTCAAAAAAATTAGGAGCCTTTTCGAATGCACTGAGTGTAGTTCGGTCACATATTTTCAATTTACGAGACCTACGTGCCGGTAGGCATGAAAAAACTCATCAGCTGGGCCTATCTGATGTGAAAAACGAGCAGCCCACCAATCATGGAAATAGGGGAGTCCGCTCTGATACCGTTTTTTATATGCGAGGATTTTGAATAGGAATTTATTTTACTTTATTGATCCGTCTTCACATGTTTTTTCACTGTCCGGATCCCAGTACTTTTAGTATTCTATTCGGTTTTTTCAGAAAGAGTGAGATCTGGGTTCGAATCCCGCCTGATGCAAATGTTTTTGCACAGCACTCCACATTATCGGGTATATGTCAGCACAAGTGGGTTCAATGTCGATAGCGGCTGCCCCGCCAACCGTAAACGGTTGGCTGTTGACAGATGACGCATTGTAGCGTAAAAAGAGTGCTGAGCAAAACGAGCGTCGGTAGTGCAACGGTTAGCATACGCTCCCGGAAAGAGTGAGACCTGGGTTTGAGGGCCGGCTGACGTAAATGTTTTTGCACAGCACTCCACATTATTGGGTATATTACAAAATCATACCACCGCAACAAGCGGTCAAATAAACGATTTCCTATCAAATCTTTCTTTTTGTCTTCTTCTTGAACGCGTAGAGTGCTTGTTGAGTCCATGCAATCTTTGGGGATGACCTTAGCCGTGGCGTCCCATAGGACGTTGTTGTTGATTGCCGGAGAGAGATAGGGGTGAAGCTCGGTTCCCACAAGCGCCGCGACCAGCATAACAGCCATTCGGCCATGGCACCCTAAATTCACATTGTGAGAGAAGCCAATGCTTTGAGGGATTGTGTACATCTAGACTTTGATTTTCTGACATTTTGTGTCAATTCACATATGTGCTTACGTAAGATTGTTACAGATAGCTATAAACGATGCTCGAACAAAACTATACGCAGTCACAACCAAATGATCGCAAGGCAGAGGTAAGATTATTTCTTTCTCAGTTTGATGCAGTTTTGCCCACTTGAAATCCTTGCTGAACATCGCCGACACTGCGGCACTTGTTTCTTGTATTCTCATATGTGGTCTTTAAAAGGATTTTAAGATGTTTTGCCTATTCTTGATTTGTGTATACCTAAGAGAAATGAGTGGTGAGCAAAAACACACTACCAGGCGGAAAGCAAACCCACGTGTCATTCATACCCAGTTAGTGGCTCACAGCGAACATAGAGATGTTGAAGAATGAGTGGTAGTGCAAATGTGACTCGGTGGTGCAGTAGCACGCGTCCCCTGTATGGATGAAACGCGGGTTCGCTTCCCATCAGAGGCCGTGCTTTTGCGCACCACTCAATTCTCTTAGGTATAAACGAAAAGCTGAAACACTGCGAAAAACGCAGTAAAACTACTAGAAATTTCGGGTTCTAGTCTTACTTTGTCAAATATTCTTTGGAGCCTTTGCATATGTCTGCTAAAATCAGTCCACGCGGCGGCAAGCATCGGAATTACTCGGTCACACCCCCCCCCCCCCTTCCTCCCTTTTTTTCCACCCCTCTCCACCCCTCTCTTGCTTTTCGTTTATCACCCTTTTGTACAATCCTTTTGTATAATTTTTGCTAATCAAATTATTGCACATGCCGAAGCAGTTGTACGCAAGCTTATGTTCCTTTTGTCTTCTCTCTCTCTCACTTTTCGATCTTCTAGGTTCACTTGACTGATATTAGAATTCGGTAGATTGCGGCACAGAATGAGTTGGATAATGCTCCAAAACACCTATAATTGGTTTTTCTTCATTGAAACTAATTGCTCGGAGAGAATGTTCAGCGAATTTGCTCTCAAAGTTTTCTTCATAATTTCTCGCTTTTACCCACCATTTTCCCAAGTCATAGAAATATTCATTGGTTTAGGGCGACCGAATACTTTCCCCAAATGCAAAGAGATTCCAAAGTTGTGTTCTCTTTTTTGCTTTCTTAGTTTCAAATATGATTTTTTCAGCTGTACAGTCCATCATCATATTCTTATGTGCGAATTTCGGTACTGCTCGCATCCTATTCGTTTCTTCGTATTCTTCTTCCACGTAGGCCCTGAACATTTCACATATAGCTTCGGATGCTGCTTGAGTGAAAAATTTCTATGAATGGCGAAAAATGCTGAGACGACATTCCTTGAACCTTGGAGGCATCCGCACAATGTCGTTTCCAATTGATTGAAGACAGTATCGGTTACAAAGTCAAAACCTGTCCTTTGCTTTATAACATCCTGCATTACCAACCACGTGCCAAGTGCCTTCCGTTTTGAATTGCACCATCTATATACAAGTGATCGTATTCATTGCAAGTGCATGGGTGTTGTTGTAGATACGCGCCCACATATACGTATATATACATGCATATATACATATATACGCATTATATATATGTATGTATATACATGCATTGCGCGTGAAAAGTTCTGTCAATTTTTCCAGATGTTTTGATAGCAGAAAAAGACTATGAACATTCGTCTCAAGTGTTCTCTTAAGACCGCGCTCAGATTTTAGCATGCATGATAATTTTTTGCCATTCATATAGTCTGCTGTGGGCACTTATACATTGCCATATTCATGTTTCGGCCAGTTATCGCTTATCGGCGCGTGTAAAACGTTCGCCGCTTACTTCTGTATATGAGAGATGGATCCCCGAAGAACTGAATGGACGAAAAGGCACTGTGCAACTTTCAAAGCTGCAAAGCCCAAACATGTGTATTGCACTATAATGAGTCCACAACAAGCCACATGCATGGATGAAAAATGTTTACCATGCACAATGTTTTTCTCCATATTTTGAAGTTGCGGAATATGCTCGATATGCATTTTGTATATTCTTGCATACATATATATACAATATATACGTATAATGTTGAGATATATATATATATATATTATATATAATCTGTTCTTTTCTGTTAGACTGCCGCAAATGAGGAACGACCCCTCTCGCAGGCCAAGATCTTTAAGGGTGTTGGTAATTTCAATCATTCGAGAGCTTAAATCTCTGGAAGATGCACTACATAGCCGTTTCTTAAAAACACCCTTTTATGATGCTCTAAAATTTGAAATGAATTTACGTTTCACATTGGTAGTGCAATTTTACTGCTCCATTAGCTGAAAGCACGAAAAGCATATCGACGTGTAGAGGAAATTACGTTGAGCATCTATTTGATGTGGAATTTCCTTCAAAACAGAAGAATTTTTTGAACGAATGAGAAAATCGCACTTTGTATTTGACTCAGAAACGCATTTCGATCTATCGATGGCGGGCTAATGCATCAAATTTTACGGCTAACACACACCACGACCGTGTTTTAACAGGTAAGCAAGCGTGCCGAAGATCGAAATCCAATTTTATTTTCCCTGTGCACTACAGTGAAAAGGTCTTCCCAGAAACTGAGACAGCGTTGGTTTTGTGGAAACGTACGTTATCGAATAATTGTCAACAGAATAAAGGAAGAGCTCTCTGAGGCGAGCAAAACATGTGTGTGACTCGCAAATGTTTTCTTTTTGTCATTGCCTCGAATAGGTTTTTCCAAAAAATGGTCTAAGTAGCGCAGTAGCCAGCGACTTCAGCTCTCGTATGCTTAGTAAAACTCTCATAAAAAATTTTTGTTCAGCGGAAAGGATCACTTCTTCATATGCTGCCGTCTAAAACAAAAGAATAATGGCAACTGTGCTTCAGTTTTCAACGATATTTGATCACATAATCTGATAACAAATTTCATGGTTTTCGTTAACTCTGTTATGGTACTTATAAAGTGATAAACACTGGTTTCGCCCCTTCATCCTCATCAATAACACGCCTTCGTTTGAGCCAAATCCTTACAAGAGGATATACCTACTTTACTTAGATACCTGACCGGCCTGTCTTCACTGGTAGTGCGTGCCCCGCATAGTTTCCATTTATTTCCCTACTGCGCAACTACCGTCTATGTGGTGGTCCGATTCAAGCATGGTGACGTACACGAGGCCCATTCCGTTAATTCAAACCTATTACCATCTGCGAATGCATATGGGTGACGTTAGCCGCAAACACGTCAGCCCAAAGTTTAAGTGGTCTTCCAATAGAGCGCGTGCATCCTCTTATAGTTAATTCCACTGTTTTTTCATTCCACTGTCATCCGCTCTTCTGAATACGGGTCCGGCCCATCTGTGTTTCACTATCCATGTGTATATTTCGGCATAATGAGGTTGAGGCAATTCTCAAGAACCGGAGCAAGACCGCTTAACCTTCATGTCGTTCTTCATGTTTATTCAACGTCGAAGGTATACGTGCGAGGTGGTCTCCTTGATCAGAGATCCATCCAATTCGGTTTGCTCACCTTCGCACCATGGAATCTTTATGAACTGTGTCTTCGCTCTGTTTATGCGTAGCTAAATCTTTTTTCCCGCTTCGTTAAGTTCATCGTCTTCGCTTCAAGGGCACTTTCCGATAAGATGACGATGTTGTCAGCAAAACGAGTGTTCGATATAAGTTTTCCGGTAATTCGTGTGCCCTTTTCGTGCCAATCGAGCGATTTCATCATCTACTGCAGTTCTGCAGCAAAGAGCTTTGACAAACAGCGATATAATATCGCTTTGCGTAGCCCCTTTTTCCATGGGTACAGTGAAGGATCGATCGAAGAGCAGTATTTTCGTGCTGCGATTTTGATGACAGTTGCTAATCTTCGTATATTGGACGTATCTCCACCTCGGTCGGCGAGCGCTCGCAGCATTGTATTCGTTCGCACTGTCAAGAGCTTTCTTATACCGTTCCTTTCTAGTGTTTTCTTATGACCATGCTCAAATTTCAACATATTTCATATTTGCTGTTCAAGCCAACTTGTCATGTAGTCTATTGAATAGGCTCTTTTACAGTTCGATATACGAGTTTCGACCTTGACAGTCTCGTCAGTCGGGTGGAACTCTTCGTCTTTTAGCCAATCTTCTGTGGGTGTTCCAGTCCCCACATTATAATCGAACGGTATAATATGTTTCATGAGACCACCCAAGAGCAATTGAGGGTATAAACCTGGTGTTCGCGTGATTTTCGCTTGACAGCAGTGTAGTTAAATCGTTCGTCGTCGCCTACTCTTAGTGTAGGGACTGGAGCACCCATAGAGATTAACAAAAGACCAGAAAGGGTAACTGCCCGACTGACGAGACCGCAAGATCAAAACACGTGTATCGGGCTCAATAAGTCAGCCCTGTTTGATGAACCACTGACATGCGTGGCTCAAAAAATGATTATTAGGCATAATGAAATCTGAGCTGTGGTCTTAAGAAAACACTCGAAACGAAAAATTCAAGTTATCAAATAGCATGTTTTGAAATTTTTTCGACTAGCCAATTGGAAATCTCACTTACTAAGAGCAGTGAAAGGACAGTGCCATGAAAAGGTCCATTTGCAAAAGCATTTTGTTAGTGAGACTTTTATTTGAATTCACCTCAATGTCTATTGTCATCACCCACATCAACTGCAGTACCGTTGATAATCATTGCGTGCTAGAATGTCGAAATCGAGTGGAA